CTAACTATCAATTAACAAACTCAACTCCTTTTCATAATAACTATAACTTTAATATCTAAGTAAATATAATAAACATCCTATCACTCCAAGGTTCCACTCAAGACTCCGCACGGCTAAAACATACGTCACAACACTGCATAGACAATACGTCACGACTCAGCATAAAAATACGTCATAAATACAATGGCGGGAAGAGCGTTCACTAACTATAACAGTCAAGCGCGGGAAAAGCGTTCAACAACTAATGAACATAATATTGAGTCGCAACAATTCCTAATGAACGCTCATACTCGACATCTGTCCTCACTTAAACGATGTACACCATGGAAACACAACCCTGAAAGATGTTCGTCAGTCATTGTCGAACGAGGTGAAGTTTCCACTCGTCTGAGGGTACTAAAGAAACGCTCCACGGTGCATGTTACTGTTGGTAAAATAAGGGCAATAAGAATAGCTTACTGGAGATGTTGACGGAAAATGTCAATTACTTTACAAATATGGTTTCTGCACACTTACCATTCCAGCTGTGTGGCTCGTAATGACTGAGTTACTGGTACCAGTATTGCTGAGTGTTATGTAGAACGTGTTAATGTCCCATTTTCCCCGTGCCGTGAACTCTGTTTTACCCCAAGTTAGACTACGTTCGTATTGGGCGTGGCCTATTTTCTTTTATCTTGACCTTGTATACTTCCCTTACCGACTAAAAATAATTAATATGTTCTAATAGAATATTGGGAAAAGTTCGAGAGGGAACTAGAAAAGTAAACAATGCCTAAGTTGTTTCAGGAACGCGTCTTACGGTGCATATAAAAAAGGGATTCATAGAACATTAATGGACGGAGATTGAGAGATTCAGATAGATATTTTTAAATTTACGACACAAGTGTATTATTCTTCGTGTACTCATCTGTTTATTCGCATTCATCATTTTTTCATTAGTAATTGGCTTATTGTACTAACTGTTTACCGGTACAAGATCTACCATACTCTGTAAGTTGATGATTTGTAATTGTATTTCTCTTGTTTTGTAATTATATTAATACTTAAATAAATCTTATTAATTGAAATTTGCAGCTGTTTTGGGTGTCGTATTTTTGCTATTGTTTTTCTATATGGTATGGTCTTTTTGTTAGGCATTGTTTAGAACGAGCCATAAAATTAAAACAAGAGATTCCTTTTTTTTTCTCGATAGCAGGCAGTGCGTAACACTGAGTATGTAGTGATAATAAGATAAGATAAGATTCTTTTATTGATCCAAATAAATGGAAATGTTTTTTGATTGCATTATACATTTTCAGCTAAAAAATAAAACAATTTGAACACAAGACATGTATAATAAATTATTTCAAACAGCCATTCAGTGAGTTCTCTTAGCAAAATCGGGGACTTATTAGATCTCATCAGATGTGTGACTTCAGAGGAAGCATGCGGTAATTTCGTACAGATTGGGGAACAAAATTATTTTTATATCTGTCAGTCCTCGTCCTGGTGGAAAGAATTCGCCCCGAACGTGCCGATCCTAAGTATCTGTGATGAAGAGGGTGGGGTGTATCATCCAAAATGTGTTTAGTTTTGCAAAAATATCTTTCTTCAAATAGGTCTTCAAGTAAAGGATGTTTAGTTTGTGTTATGTTCCTAGCTTTCTTGATTAGTCGGTTTATGCGGTGTTTAATATCAGACGTTGAATTCCCACACCAGCAGGTAATATTGAATTAGGCTTCCAATAGTTGCATGGTAGAATAAGTTAACGACTTGCTTGTTTACACCAAAATTGTGCAGCTTTTTGAGGTAGAACAGACTTTGATTGAATTTCTTATACAGTATTTGGTCCTGCTCATGCCATGTTAGCTTTTTATCAATGGTGACACCTAAGTACTTGTATGCCTCCACTTTCTCTAGATTTTGATTTTTTATGTTGAGATCTGTAATCCGGTGTTTCCCCCTCCTGAAATCAACAACATTTCTTTAGTTTTTGAGGCATTCAACTGGAGAAAATTTTCATCGCACCAAATGATAAAGCTCGTTACTAAGTTTCGGTATATGCCTTCTCCTTCAGATATTAAACAAACCACGGCGGTATCATCACAAGACACCCGGGAATCGTGGGTGAAGAACATGAACACATTAGCTAAATGACGGCTGTTCTACAGCGGCAGGAAAGGAAGGCGGTTTTCAGACTACAATACGAAGGGGTTTACAAATAGTCACTTTTCTCATTGCTGTAGAACAGCCGTCATTAGCTGGTTTGCATCAAATCGTATTTTACCTGTGTCATTTGTTGCCAGACTGTGCCATGGATTGAACATCACCTCAATATTCTCACTGAAAATGCGATGTTTTTATATTTTGCTGACAAAGAGTATCAAAGACCAATGGAAATTAAGTATTAACGATCTTGGCTTAATGCTTTCTTGAACAACCTTAATAAAAGTTTTGATTGCACCAATGGCATCAGGCACTTGAACAACTGAAGTCAAATCATTACCACAAGATTTAGCCGATATGCAGAGCAACGAGCAAAGCGACTAGTTCTATACCCTTGCGTATTGTAATCTGGAAACCACCTTCCTTTCCTGCCGCTGTAGAACAGCCGTCATATCTTTGTCCAAGTAATTTTGTCACGTCTAGAGCAAATTGATTGCAGTGATTTATTGCTGTCTTTTGCATCAGTGGCTGGAATCCAATTCATTCTTCACAAATTTTAAATGCATTGTCTACGTTGTCTACAAAATGTACCACCTACGACAGTTGTTCCTGACCTATAACGCCGTTTCATCGACAAATATTGAGAATGCTACATATGTTTTTACTAATATATTATCTGTTTCTTTTTTACCTCCTCACATATCTCTATGACGTCATCTCATTTCTCTATGACGCCATCACATATCTCTATCACGCCATGATGCACGTATCTCTATGACACCATCACATATCTCATTAAGTTGATTATGGATTATGTGAGAAGTAGAACGAGCATTACCAACGGACGTCTTTAAATGTGTCTCCATGTCTTTGTCGGCAGCTTCCATTCAAACTGAAACACATCATGGACAGCTCCACTGCCACTGCCACTACCACTGCTACTATCTTTACCCACGAGGTGCGATGTCGTGTGCTCCATATAAAAGATTGTGAATAATAATGGCAAAAGATTATTTCGATGTTCTAAAATCTTATTAGAAATAGACGTGTCTAGGATATGTCGGTCTGGATTACTAATGATGCTCAAGAATGATTACTAGACCATCAAGCCATGGAGAAAACAGTTCAAGCCTTACGTACCGAAAACCACGTTTTTTTTTGCCACGTGTATCCTCGTGAAATTGTAACTAGCTTTTGGTCGGTATGGGTTTGTGAGTCAACGATATTTTAAAACATCTGACTGCTGAGATGTTGACTAAATACCTCCACCCAAATCAAAATGATTGATCGAGATTTCACAGCAAACAATATTATGTGTTGATATTTCAGTGCCAAATTTGATTGATGGCGACAGCAATGAATGGCTTCTCTGAGAAACACTGTCAGCGGCTTCAAACTCCTGCGAGTGTGAAATGGTCAGGTCACAACTTTTAGTTCGTTCTTCAACGTGTTGGTCCTCCCTGGTCAGTGTCTTTGATGTGGACACAGTTTTCAGTTACAATAAATTTTACCCTCATCATTATCACATGACGTCTTTTGTCATTTGTAGCATATTCAAAACAATAATATTTCTTTGTATTCACAGGGACAAAGTGCAAATATTAATGTGTTTTATCATTAATTTATTATTTTCCAGGGTGGGTCATGTGACCCATGTTGACCCATAGTGCGGGCGCCCATGCACATATGTCAAAAGTTTGGACAGCACTGTTCAAGACAACCAAGATTAAACGTTAATGGCAAAGCTGTAGGCGACGTTCGCAACGAAATCCTTTTGAGTTAGCTGATTCTTGTTGCTTGAAAAGGTAAATCAGACACCGCATGTGTTTAATGGTATGGCAGATCCGGTTCAAATCTTACCTTGGCAAACGGCTACCAAATGTTACCTTGACCTACGTGTCATTACCTTTCTAGTTACCAACTCATCGAGATATCAAGCTCTAGATTTATGGAGACACTATTTTTCTAAACATTTAAATTTTGTTTCATCATTACAGATGAAGTTATATCACATTACAGCTATTTCTATTGCTGTATAGCTAGATGCATACACAAGAATTGATCAATAACATCTTGACTAGTTATATCCTAAAGTATAGTAATATACCGTGTAAATCTCGTATACTTTTTTTTGCATAATTATGTACTTTGTTTACCTTGTGTATTTAGGTGTAGACCTTGTATATCTTGTGTAATTGTTAACCTAATTGATATCTTGTGTATAACTTGTGTATTTGTATACCTAGAGCATTGTATAGCTGTGTACTTGTAAACCTAGTTAATATCTAGTGTATAACTCGTGTATTTGTATACCTAGAGCATTGTATAGCTTGTGTACTTGTAAATCTAGTTAATATCTAGTGTATAACTTGTGTATTTGTATACCTAAGAAATTGTATAGCATGTGTACTTGTAAACCTAGTTAATATCTAGTGTATAACTTGTGTATTTGTATACCTAAGAAATTGTATAGCTTGTGTACTTGTATGGCTGGAACATCATTTAAGTTGTTTGTCGTATAAACCTAGATAGAGTCAAAGTGGGCAACACCAGCCTTAACCAGATGTTTATCTAAATGTTAAACATTCAAACTACTAAATCAGTGGAGTTGAACGTGACCGCCATGATACTGTGCTACTTAATCAACAGACATAACCAAGGGACGGATGGGGGCTACCGGGGTTAACTCGAAGGGTGTGAGACAGGTATACGAGGCGCATGGGGCATGTGCGTTTCAATAATGTGAGGACAATCGTAGGACACATTGAGAACAACAACTAGACAAAGATAAATGTCTATTAAACTACGTCGTCTTCCGTGCCGGTGGGGTGACGCATCAACAAATGTGTCTCTATAAAACGGTAAGGGGGGTCGTTGAAACGTAACATTGCAAGTTTAGAGAGCAGTGATACCAAACATGATGATGACATTACTGAGAGTGACAGCTGGCGTGGTGCTGGTGATGTGCATCATACAACGGGGTAAGTCTATACCAATAATCGAACATGCATCAATATTACATTACATACGCTTATTTAGTGTATACACAGCCTGGACATCACTAACATAAGCTGCTCTCTCTACCTTTCTCTCTCCCTCTGTCCCTCTCTCTCTATTCTCTCTTTCTCTCTCTCCCTTTCTCTCCCTCTGTCTGCCTCTTTCTCTCTCGCTTTTTCTTTCTCTCTCTCCCTTTTCTCTTTTTCTATCTCTCACTCTCTCTCTCTCTCTCTCCCTCTCTCTCTCTCTCTTTCTCTCTCTCTCTCTGGTAGTCTCTTTTCTTAAGTTGTCTTCTTGAAAAGGGTGAATACTTTGCATTTCTCTTTTTGATTTAATTCAGTTCTTATCTCCCCTTACACTATCGTATACTTGTCCCAGTTCAAATGTAGCTCTTATAGTTTAGCACCACAAAGTCTAAATGTAATATATCTTTCAACTTTCAGGAAATGACGTTGATGCTCAGCCAGCTGGGAAGCCTGGGGGCGCTGGGGGACCCCCGGGTCCTGGAAGACCTGGAGGCAATGAATGTCCCCGTATTTGTACTATGGAATACGCTCCAGTCTGTGGCAGCGACACTAAAACCTACTCCAATGCCTGCGGACTCATTGCTTATAACTGTGACAGGCCAGCTAACAGGAAAATAACTCAGGCGTACACAGGAGAATGTAGGGGGCGACCTAAGGGGGGACGTCGAGATTAACCAACAGTGTTGTTGTCATCGTGAACGACAGTCGAGAGCATAACAATGACTGAATCAATGCAGAGTTGTACATTGTCTATTTATTTTTTTATCAAGCAACAGATGTAATATATGAATTGTTATGAAAACCTTCCTTTTGTGTGTGTGTGTGTGTGAAATAAATGAATCCATGTCAACTAGAGAAATAGTCTGGCTAACATCCTCCTGTTTATTTCATTTGAGAAATTTATCAAAAGATTTTCAAGTCGTGTATTTTTCTGGATATTTTTTTTTTAAAATAGTGCTTTCCTGTTTTAATATCTTTTAAATAATGCTCTTATTACACAATTACGTTTGAATATGTATGTCACTAAGACTATCCTCTTTATGATAATATATTCAAAGCTTAGAAGGCGTATACAGCATGCCATATGAAAGATTTTAAACGTATAATTGTAAGTTCACTTCTCTCTTAATTATTGACATTATATGTTCTAAAAAATACAAAATTTGTGTTTTTACCTTTGAATATGAATAGTTTGTTTGTATATTGGTTGTGTGTTTTTTTTTTTTTTTTGGTTGTTTTTTTGTTTTATTTTATTCTGCTTGTTTTATTGTTTTTTTTCTTTTATTATTTATTGTTTGTTTTTTTTTTTGTTTTTTTTTTTTTTTTTTTTTTTGGTTGTTTTTTTGTATTATTTTATGCTGCTAGTTTAATTGTTTTGTATATGTATGTCGACCTATAGTGCTGTAGTGTAGTGGAATAATAGTGGGTGACGGTGTGGTCTATACTGAGTCAAAGCAAGTTTGTTTATCCCTTGCGTAAGTCTAGAAAAGCAAAAACAACACCAGCATCCTAACTGGATGTGAATCGCTAACCGTGGTTGGAATCCCGTTAGTGGTATGACATAGACACAATGAAAATTGCGGAAACGAAGCTACCGGTGGAACGAAGCTACCGGTGGCCGAGTGGTCAAAACTTCATCAATGCCAAGCTTGAAGACTGGAGTTCAATGCCCAGCAAAAGACTAGACAAGCAAAATCACCACAATTATCCGAGGTGGATGGGACTCGTTCACGCTGGATGCCAACCTGGATGCCAACCTGGATGCAAACCAATCAAGAAAAACTCTAAATCCCAACCCGGAGTTTGAGTCCCGTAATTATATGGCATTGACACACTGAAAATTCCAGCAACTCCTGGACGCTAGTGGTGTTAAGGTACGTCATCATTCCATAGGGCACCCCGTTGAAGTGATTAATTTGCTGTCTAGGGCAGTGGTTCCCAAACGTTTAAGTTTGGCTGACCGGTGAACAGGTTTCGAAAATTTACCAGTGACCGGTGCATGGTTTATTTGTATACTTTTATTTCTATTTGAGAATAAATATTTATGTTATGGGACCGGCAGCGTGAGGCATAAGGACTGGTGAAGGTCCACGGACCGCCATTTGGGGACCACTGGTCTAGGGTACCAGCGTATCCTCCCAAGAAAAATCTCTGCGACGTCTACACTATAGTGACATTGTGACGGATCGATGGCCCAAAGAAGTGTATCATATAGTGCGACACCATAGAGAAGTAAAGGGCAATAACATAATGTAGTCGTGCAATCTAATGCAGACTTATCAATCCAAACAAAGGGGACTCTAACAAAACTACACTTAAATAAACAAAACATTTCATTTAATAAATAAGTGGAACATTCAATTAGAAAAAACTACATACATTTATTTATTTATTTATTTAGGCATTTTTATATAGCGCTTACCATAAAGCTATAAGCGCTTTACAATTATTAAAAACATGTAAACTAAGTAAAATAAAAATGAGACACTAGGATAGTAACTACTATACTATAGAAACAATGAAAATGGCTATAAAACAAGGGCATGTTTTGGCCTATACTTCAGGATCAACCCGAAACAGAAAATGAGGTAGGGCAAAGAGGGTGCATCACAGGTCATAGGCGGACCTAAACAGATGAGTTTTAAGGGACTTTTTGAAAGTGGACAAGGTTTCACAATGACGGATATGGAAGGGGAGCTGGTTCCAGAACGTGGGCGTATGGAAGTAGAAGGAGCGTTCACCGATGGTCTTAGTTTTGGTTCTTGGGATTGAGAGGGCTCTACTGTCAATTGAAGAACGTAGTTGTCTTGTGGGAATGTAAGGAAGCAACAGTTCAGAGAGATAGACAGGAAAGACATACCTACATACATACTTAAGTACGCACGCACACATACACACATACATACAATCATACATACATTCTTAAGTCATTCAAGGGTAATATAGCTTTAATGTTGACATACTTGTTAAATATTTTTGGGGTCGTTTTGTTAAACAAATCATTTTGAATAAGATATCTTTGCAAAAGAGACATAGTTACTAAGTGCCTCGCAGACAAAACAGCTCCACGGGTCTCTACCACGCGTGACAACCTGTGTCACCCACACCAACAACCCCCCCCCCCCCCATCCCCCCTAAACAAATCATTTTGAATAAGATATCTGTGCAAAAGAGACATAATTACTAAGTGCCTCGCAGAAAAAACAGCTCCACGGGTCTCTACCACGCGTGACAACCTGTGTCCCCCACACCAACAACCCCCCCCCCCAATTACCCCCGTAGATCCAACTCATGTTATAAACCAGTGACCGCCACTTTTTTTTACTCTAGGTGCCCATCTTGAGACTCTCTGTGACAAGCACATTGCCTCTAATTCCTGATCGCCGTAACTAATCCAGTTCTTAAAAGCGTTAGCGTTCCCCTCTTGCACCTAACTCACATCTCCTTGCTGTACCAACACAACTTATCCCTCTTGTACACAATCAAAATGTCCCCCGTTGCACCATGTCAAACCCCTCCTGTTGCGCATTATCAAAAGTCATATCTACGGTCTCCTTATCAGATGAAACAGTCTCAAAACTAAACCTCGACGAACCTCACGAGAGCAAAGTTATTGTGTACTTCCAATAGTGGCATGTCAGTTGTCTGGACTGTACTGTACTGCGGCTCTCTCAGGCGTAACGATGAGTTCTATGCAGGCGTAAACATGGCTGTAACAGCTCGATATTCACAGAAATGCACTGTTTCGTTATTTAGAGATGTTAAGGGGATTATTCTTGGTAAGGCGAAGATGACAGGAAGGAGGTAGATAAAAAGAAAAAAAAAAGAAGTATGGATAATTACATTGGTTGGGAGTGAAGAATTATGATTGAAAGAGAGCTCACTTGTAATCATTCTTGTATTTCAAAAGAGCTAATATAGAATATTATATTTGTTAATTTACTTTGTTATTACCGTGACATTAAAAGGGGATGTGTAGAAACTAGAATTCAAATTTTTATTGGGGGAGGGGGGGGTGATGAACGCATGTGCTCCGTGAGTGATGGATGGAGTCCCAAATTATTCATATTAAAATGAACCCACGGAAGTTACAATTACTAGAATAAGTTAATCAGCTGATAGATTTAGCGTAAAACCCCCATCAGTTACAGGGGCCACTTCAACAAGCGTAACTGGGTTGGCATTGTTACGGGCAGCGGGACACGGCCAACATGGGATACAGCAGGATACAGGAACAGCAGGAACCTTGTACAAAACAAGGAAACACAAAAAACATACAATAGCAAAGAAGTTTTCAATTAACTTAAAATAGCTACTTCTAGTTTATTATCTACAATGTATAAATGAATGAAATGAAACTCAATGTATACAGCACAACATATGACATAATGTAATTGTAACTTATATTCAAAATACACTAAGACAGTTATAATGGTTGTCCTATAATCTCAATCATTCAAGCACATCTGCTGACAACGCCTGCACGATACAGGCACTTTAGTTTACGACTCTCGACACGCTAATGACTCTATTGGTGGAGTCTCGTGGAACTGTCTTCCGTCAAGCGTCTGTGTGGAACTATGCACGTTCGTCTCACTGCCAAGTGCTTGAGGTGGTCGGTCTGCTAGCATCTATTCTCACGACAATATAAAGGGCGACTATTCCTGACATATTATGAATAAATCCCCTACACTATGTGATCAATCCTAACTTCCAACTAGATACTCACCGTCGTCTTCTTAACTACTACCGTCTACCTAACGTAACTCTCTATCACATAAACCATCCTACAGCTTCTTCAAATACACGCCTTACACGCACTTACCTCTCTCTAATGTTCTTCAAAGTGTGGTCAGTGGTGTCTACCAAAACGTTGTTGATATGTATTGACCTAGCTGCTTTATGTGGATGGTAACTCTGACGGTCCTCTACTTCTACCGACGGAGCTCTCCCTGACCGTCCGCTACCCTGTTCGGCTGAGCTCTCCAAGCCCTGTCCAACAGTCCCTATTTATATTTCCTGAGCCCATGGAGGTTCCCTCCCATGTCTGTAATCTGACTCCCAAATCTTCCAGTACTTAAAGTTGCGAACAATTGAAAAGGTCATAAAGCCCAGTAGAGCGATGGCGCAACGGTCGTTCCAGTAAAATCTGATAAGCTAGCCCCTGGTCAAATGCTGGTAACCCTGCTGATACAACGGCCCTTTTTAGTCGGTCGGTAACCCCCAACCCCTGTGGCCTCCCAGGTCCGAACCCTCCACCATGTATGGTATTTAATTATTCCCCCCTTCCCTTCCTCTCTCTCTACCTCGCTATGGCTGACCTTGGCTTAATAGTCACTCTGTGAATCCTACTAGAAAGTTTTATAACATTTTTACATTTGCTACCCCTGAAGAGTTCTCAAATATTTATGTGACCCCCACATACATGCCATTTGTAACACTTCCAATAACTGCTGTGTAATAATCTTCTTTAAACTTTTTGTCAATGTTATTCTTAATGTGTATGCCAAGTTTCATTTACAATACAATGCAATAAGTTGCAATACAATGCAATACCAATTTGTCTTTATTCATTTTGCGTAAAGTCAAAATTGGTATTAAATGTTTAATTTTTTGCAATAAAAGTCACAACACATTTTAAAAAAAAAAACTTAAGTGGATTTTTGTTTTACTGTTTGTGTATGGTTTGTATGTACTATATTTTTTTCAATGGCTCTATTTATTTAGGTTATCAGACTTTTATTTTCAATGTGGCATGACTTAGTTGCCTTGAAACCAAATTCCTTTCACCTATCAAATATATTTGCTCCCACTCAATCAATATGTATGCACTTAAATGAAGAAATGATACCGTACAAACAATAGTTAACTGTACGGGTACCAACAAGGAAGGTGAGAAAGTAAAAGGAGACAAATATCAAAGGAATGATGTGACCTAATTGAATGAGTTTATTTGCTGCCTACTCCATACAGGCCCCTAATTTATGTTATGGATTACTTGAGTACACCATTCAAATAACTAACAACCAAACAAAAATGTTCTCAAGTCAGCTAAGGGTTGTTTTTTTTTCTATTAAATTTCAAATTATGTACCAGTGTGTTAGACTCAGTAGACAGATACGGAAAAGAAAAAAAAAAAAAAAAAAAAAGAGACTAGTCCTCCAAAAATAAGTCTCTTTCTC